TTTTTTTTTTTTTTTTTTTTTTTTTTTTGGTACTGGGGATCGAACTCTGGACCTTGCACTTGCCAGGCAGGCAGTGGCAGCATCACTGAGTGAAATCTCAGGCCCTGTAAGACTTTTTCTTGAGACCACAGCTACTTTGAGCTTTTAGCCTGCACAAGTGACAATGTTTTAACGTCCCCATCAGACTGAACTTCTGCTTGAGGAATCTGAGAGCCACTCCTGGTTCACCGCCTGTAGCACCCATGGGAGGATGCTCTGTCTGGAAGCTATGAGCAGTTGTGTACTTGTCCTCGGCGTTCACGTCCCATGCCCTCAGTTGGCTCCTTGCATATTGGGTACCTCTTTGATTAATTAATGGCCACCAATGCCTCTATACCTTCTGTCTGCTTTCTAGAGTGAACAGGAAGCAGAGTATCAGGAAAGATGACTTCTAGCTTACTCGGATATAGATCTGTAAAAAGAATAGCATGTAAGCTGGGGATTTAGCTCAGTGGTGCCACCTGCCTGCTTTGCAAACACAAGGTCCTGAGTTCGATCCCTGGTAACAAAACCAAACAAACAACAACAACAACAACAAAGAGAATGGCACATGGATTCCCTTCCTCCTCCTCTGCTTTCTGTGCCCTTTCCTTTGCTTGTGTCTCTTTCCTTCATACCCTTAGAACCTGTTTCCCTTTCCTTCACCTCTTTCTGAAACTAGCCTCACAAAGATATCTACTACATGTATTCAGAGTAACATCTAAATATTAACATGTAACGAATGCTTCCATGGATGGATAACTTGTGTATTTAAACAGAAGACAAAACCTAACATTCTGTCTCTTACTGGAATTTTAGACACTAGGAAGTCGTGGCAGACGCTGAAAAAAAAAATCAGTGGCCTTCTTGCAAATCATATCATCTAGTCAGCTATCTACTGCCTCATATTATTTAAAGTGGTTTGAGATGTAGAATACTTTTAGTATTGGCCTTGCCCTAAGATCCTAGCTGAAAGGTCTGTAGCTTCATAGTGGAGCAATTATTGCCTATAAAAATTCACTTTCCTTGCTTCTCTTCTAAAACAGATTACTACCACTGATTTCTGCTTTCTGCTGATTTCTTTCTTTCTTTTCTTTTTTTACTGCTGATTTCTTTTTATTTTATTTATTTATTTATTTTTTGGGGGGGTGCCAGGGATTGAACTCGGGCCCTTGTGCTTGCAAGGCAGGCATCAGAACCACTGAGCTATATCCCTGGCCCGCTACTGCTAATTTCTATATTCCATTCTAAACAGTACTATATACTGGGCACTAGATAAGCAACATGATGTCATGTAATTTTCACAACCCCATGAGCCCATTATCTCCCTCTCTGGATTTAGAAACCAAGACTTAATACAGAGGCTAAGTAAGAGTAGAGGTATAGCCAGAATTTGAGGGTAAGTTTGTGACTCCAACCTGTTTAAGATCATTATTATTTGAACAGTCCTTAATGGAACTTTCATTCTAGGTCACAGAGTAGTGTATAAGTGTGAAATGGTATTTGATTTAAGTCTGTGTATGTATGTGGCACTGGGGATCAAACTCAAGGCCTTGTGCATTATAGGCAAGCACTCTACCATTGAGCTGTATTCCTAGCTCTTAATGTGATTTTTTTTTTTTTTTTAAACTGGGGATCGAACTCAGGACCTTGTGCTTGCAAGGCAGGTGCGGTGCCGCTGAGCTAAATCCCCAGCCCTTAGTGTGATTTTGAATGGATTTTTTTTTTTTTTTGTACCAGGGATCAAACTTGGGACCTTGTGCTTGTGAGGCAGGGGTGGAACCACTGAGCCAAATCCCCAGCCCTCATGATTTTGAATGGATTTTTAAAAAATTAATCTTTACACCAGAATATACTTTCACATAGCTAGGACTGAATCAATCATTTAAATTCCACCGTGAGTGAGCTTTAACTCTTCTCTAACAGTTGGTCTCCACTTTGTGTTAAAGTACATCTTAAGACATTTACTGTTTGGGTACGAACTCGTAATCCTAGATATATGTAAAGAAAAAGTAGATACATAATGACTTGAGGATATTCTTTTTTTTTTTTTTTTATTATCCGTTAGATCAAACCCATAATACAACAAAACAGAGTTGTATTATTCTGTCATGGGGATGATTTTTCCCTTCGTATCTGTTGAACTTCTAGGCTTCCACAGTTGACGTTCCTCTTCCTCTCCCAGATCTTAACCCCACTTGTGTCTGTACCAGAACCACTGCTGTATACCCTTAGACTGCCCTCCTTAGCACCTAACCCCCACCCAGCATGCTTTTGGAATTCTGTGCCTCTCACTGCCCAGCTACAGGTGCATAAAATCTCTGGCTGAAGTCACATCATAGCACCTTTGGTCTAGATTTTTTTTGTGTGTGATACTGGAGCTTGAGACTAAGGCCTTCACACTGAGCTACATCCCCCTTCTCAGTAAAGCCTTCCCTAGCTCCTGTGTAGGAAGTGTTAATCTCATCTGAAACATTTTATATTACTCTTCCTTGCTTTATTTTCCCCCTTTAGGATTTGCCACCTTCCAACATACCATGTTATATTTTACTTATAAAAATAAGTACTTACAAAATATAACAACATGTTCTCTCTATACATATTTTTTTGTACTGGGGATTGAATTCAGGTCCTTAAACTTGTAAGGCAGGTGCAGTGCCACTGAGCTAAATCCCCAGCCCTAACGTGTTATATTTTACTTATGTATTTCTTCACTGTTGGCCTTCCTTCATTCCTAAAGTAAAGAGGTTATATTTTGTACTGGGGATTGAACTCGGGACCTTGCCCTTGTGAAGCAACTGGTGGAATCACTGAGCTAAATCCCCGGCCCCTGTTTTGGCCTTTTGTTCACTAACTGTCCTTAGTACATACATCAGTGCTGGTTCACAGTAGACCCTTCAGATATAGTTGTTAATAAGTGGTTTCTTCATTTTATTTGCCTTAAATACATCACATGGATACAGTACTTTCCACTACTACCAAAAGCTGACATTGGAGATTGATTGCAAAAATTTTTTTGACAGGATCATCAAAGAGCTCCAAGGCCAGCTAGAATATGAACGACTTCGTAGAGAAAAATTAGAATGTCAACTAGATGAGTATCGAGCAGAAGTGGATGACCTCAGAGAAACAATAAAGAAAATTCAGGTCCCTAACTTGGTGGCTATGGTTGGTATCCTTAATTCAATTATTTTTCTCAAAAAGTAGTATGTAAGAGTAGCCAAGAGTATAAGCTTTGGATTAGAGCTATTTCTGTTTGAATCCAGGCTATAACTTTTTTTTTTTTTTTTTCCTGGCTATAACTGTTTTGAGTCAGGCAAATCATTTAACCTCCTTGAGTTTCAATTGTAAGGTGGAGACAATTTATACTTTCTTGAGCCAATGCCAGGGTTAAGGAATATATCTGTGCTTATACCTGTAACTTTCTCTCTCCCTGCCCATTCCTCACACCTGATGTATTTATTTTGGTTAGAATAATAGCTTGGTTTGTAACAGTGCAGCAAATATTACTGTCATATTGTACCACATAAGGGAAATATTGAGTTGGAAAACTCAGGACCTCATGCATGGTAGGCAAGGGGTGTACCATTGAGCTACACCCTTGGCCCCAAGAAGAAAACATTTTTTTACTAGCAGAGAAAGCAATAAAAATTCTAAGACAGCTAGAGGGTATGAATATTTTTATATTCTAAAGAATAAATAAAATTATTTGAATGGAATCCATTTAAAAAAGCTCTAGCTCCTCCAAAGAGCAGTTTTAAGAGTAGAAAGGAGCCAGCATAGAGGTTACATAACATCCCTTTACTCAGCTCTTGGAGTAATATAAACTTTTGTGTAACACTCTATCTCTACAAAGTGCTTTCTCATGTTACCTTATTGTACGCCATTTGATCTACTGCCATTTCCCATATGAAGCAACTGAGGCTCTGAGGTGTTAAGTCACTAACTTGCCTGAATTCACACAGCTGGACTATTGGAATCGTATTCAGTTGCTAGCCTTTTGACTTTGTAGTCTTGGCTCTTTTTATAACAGGCATTATGAATTTGGAATTCCAGAGGGGTTTTTCTTAGGTGATGATGGATGAATTGTGTTCTAGACCTGTGTCACTTCATTTGATCTGCCACAAAAACTTCCTGGTTTCCTTTTACTTTGCAAAAACTAAACACTGGTCTTTTTTTTCTTTTCTTTTTTGGTCTTTTGAGACAGGGTCTCACTATGTAGTTGAGACTGACCTGGAACTCACTATGTAGCCCAAGCTGGTCTCGAACACACAATGCGCAATGATCCTCTTGTCTCAGCCTCCCGAGTTTTGGGATTACAGGTGTGCACCACCAGGCCCAGCTACTAAACACTGGTCTTTTAATAACCACTTTAGATATACTTTTGCATTTCAGTTAGCAGTATGTTGTGAAATATTAGTGTAAAATAGAAGCAGAAATATTAAGGTGTTTGGGGAATGTGTTAGGTAGAGATAGGACTGAATGATTTCTCAAGGTGCCTCCTGTCTTAGGATTCAGCACATTATAAAGCCTTTGCCACTTCAGATTTGGGGATTTATACAAAATCCTAAGATAAATTTAACAAAGCTGAAAATATTTGGCATGGTTGTTTTCTTTTGAACAGACAGTGCAGAAATATGAAAATGTGTGTTTAGCATGAAAGTTTTCTTTTTTCTTTTTCTTTGTTCATAGGAAGATGACTCAGGTGAGTCCAGCAAAGAGAAGAGGCAAATGAAGAAAAAGATGCCTTCTGGGGGGGTGTTCATAAGAAGGTACTAACAAGTGAAATAACTTTAAATAAATTTGTTTGATTTTCCTTTCATTAAAAAATTTTTATTTTATTTTTTTTGGTACCGGGGATTGAACTTGGGACCTTGCACCTGTGAGACAGGCAGCGGAACCACTGAGCCAAATCTCTGGCCCTCATTTAAAAAATTAAATGTATTTTGTTGTTGTTGTTTTGGTACCAGGAATTGAACTTGGGACCTTGCTCTGCGAGGCTAAATCTCTGACCCTAAAAATTAAATGTATACACCTGCCTCACAAGTGCAAGGTCCTGAGTTCGATCCCCAGTACAAAAAAGAAAAAACAAAAAAAGAAGAAGAAATTGTATATTAATCTATAAAAATTCTCAGAATTACTCTGGCATACAACTGTTCCAATTCTGAAGGTGGAACTGTTGAATCAAAGGGATTTTTACTTATACACTCAGTTATGACTCCCAGTATACTTTTTATATGCCTTTATAGGCAAGTGAAGAGGAATGTGATTAATTATTTTGCAAGTATTCACATAGACTATAAAATATAGATGGCACAGTCTAATCCAGAAATGTAGTTCTATATGTTAAGTAAAATGTAGTAAAAATTCTGCTGATTCCATAATAGAATTATATCATTTTTTTTACTTTCTAGAGTACCTCTAATAATGTGCATAAGCTTTAAATTTTTTGCTTTTTATTTCTCAGATGACTTAACTTTAAAAAACTTCTAGACTTGTGAAAATATGAAGACCAGTAAGTTTTAGAAAAGAACACCTTTACAATAGCAACCAAATATCTCACTCTGCCATTTTACATAAAATGAAAATCTCATTTTAAAAAATGTGCTTGCTGGGATAGGGATTTAGCTCAATGGTGCTGCTGCCTGCCTTGAAAGTGCAAGGTCCCTAGTTCAATCTCCAGTACCAAAAAAAAAAAAAAAAAGTGCTTGGGAAGAATGCCTGTTTAAATGGCCAGCTTCAGAATTTAACTTTTCTTCTGTCTTTATAAGAAAGAAATATAGATAAAAGGCAGACTGGGCAGAATAAGAAACACATGGTTTTATTATTTTTTTTCCACTGAAATATTAGTTGTTCTTTGCAGGTCAAAAACAGCTTACATTTTATAACTCAGTTCTCATTTACATTAGTTCCTGTGTTTTTTGTTTACCTTGTCTCCCTTCAAATCCTGAGCTAGCAAAGATTTGTGACTCTCTTGGGGTAGTTGTCTAGACCCTGACTGGTGAAAATCTGATTGCTAGCTTTGGGCTTCACTGGCGGCAGCCTTCGCACTGTACACCAGACTGCCCGCTCTCTGGACCCTCACTTACACTTCTCATGGATTCTAAAGGGTATTTTAAATCTAGTTTCATCAGAACTACTTTGACCTGATGAGAGTGCATTTGATTACTGAGACCATTTAAGGCTAGTCAAAGGTTTATAAGCAAGTGTTAAAAAAAATGGCTTAGCAACGTTGGAGTCTGAGGCAGGAGGATCACAGTGAGGTCAAGGCCAGCCTGGGCTACATAGTGAGTTCAGGTCCAGCCTAAACTACAAAGGGAGACCCTGCATAAACAAACAAACAAACAAAATGGCTTTGCTATCCTTTACATAACCCTTTATGTTCACTATTAGTGTCTCTGGAGTTTCCAAAAGTCTTTAGAACTATACTAATATTTATTGGGTACTTCGTGTGAGCACTGTGTCACATCTTTACTATTTCTTAATTCTCAGCAACCGTTATGAGGTAGGCATATTTTATAGACAAAGATTGGACAGGGTGCCTAGTATCGCACAATGATGTGGAGTTGGCAATGAAAGTTGTCTTCATCCTTGTAACCACTGCTAGAATTCCAAATGTACCTTCTAGGACTGCACACAACCTTTCCCTTAATTTAAGACCTAAATTATTCCAACTCTGGACTCATTTTTTTTATACTTATTCTGCTTTTCTCCAGCCCCACATCTCTCTCTCTCCCTGTTGTCTCTGTTTCTGTACCAGTGAGGTAGGAAATACTAGAAGTATGTTGTAAAAAAAGCATGCACCCTGTGGCAGAGGTTCCCTGGTTATCCTTCAACATCTGCTTTTTCTTATATAGTTACGGGATTTACCTGGACTTGTGGTTGCTCATGATAAAGACTTAACTTCCCAGCTTCCCTTGCAGCTAAGAAACTAAGTTGTGACCAATAGGATGTGAACAGAAATAGTGTTACACCTTAGGGTCATGCCCTCTAAAGGGAAAGGGTTTGCCCACCACCTGCCCCTTTCTTCATCTGAAATGTGGATGTGGTGAGTCACTGGACCTTGTCAATGAGGGCAACACCAGAGACAGGAAAGCAGTAGAATAAGGAGAAGTCAGAATCTTGACACCCTGGAGCTACAATATTAGTTCTTAGAATGCTTACACTAGGTTATGAGAGACAAGTAAACCTTGTCTCTTATTTAAGTCACTATTATTCTGGGTCTTGTTATAATGGCTAAATTAAAATTGTAATGCAATCCTCAAATTTATTTTAAAACCACATATATTGTTATCATATTAGATGAATCAAACACAAAAATAAAAGTGAAAAAGGCATTTAAAGTGAGACACACATTATTCTGTTCTTATGACTCAGTAGATTGTTTATCCTTTGAGAAATAGTATTCAAGTTACAGACCACCAGTTTACTGAGTAAGAGCACAAGATTTGGAGTTAAAAGACTGGGGTCATTGGGCATGGTGGGACACACCTGTAATCCAAGCACTCAGGAAGCTGAAGCAGGAGGACTGTCACGAGTTGTAGGCCAGCGTGGGCTACATAATGAGTTCAAGGCCAGCCTGAATTACAGAGTGAGATCTTGTCTCCAAAAACAAAGCAAAAAACTGGGGCCTATTTAACTTATTTGTTGGCTGACCTTGAGTAACTTCACTAACCTTATCTCTTCAGCTTGAGTAATAATTTCACTAAGCTTGTTTCTTCAGCTGTAAATTGTGGGTAATACTACTACCCAAGAGAATAGCTATGAATGGTGGTTGATACATTATTTAATGGAAGCAAGCCATTATTTCCACAGTGACAATCAGTAGTTACTTTGAGGATGAGTAGAGCCTATACTGCTTCATGGTTGTCCTTTATATTAACTTTAAAATTAAAACAAAGTTTTTTGTGGTAGTGAGGGTTGAATCCAGGGCCTTTGCTCTGCCTTAGCCCCTTCTGATTTTTTATTTTGAGATAGGGCTAAGTTGCCCAGGCTGGGTTAAAATTTACAATCCTCCTCCTTAAGCCTCACAGAGCATTGGGCTTATAGGTGTGTACCACTTTGTCTAGTTTCTTGAAAAATGAATTTAAATCTGTACATCTCTAAATTTTTTTTTTTTTTTTTTGGTACTGGGGATCAAACTCACGACCTTGTGCTTGCGAGGCAGGCAGCGGCACCACTGAGATAAATCCCCAGCCTTTGAATTCTTAAAATTTTGACACATTAAACATTGTAAACTTAAATATAGTGAAGAGTTTTTATTGACTCATGCCTAGTTCTTACATACTCTTGGCTGACCAAAGTAATATAAATGAGCGCATTAGGATCTATTCTTTAGCCAACATCAGGACCTATTCTATAGCCATCAACAAGGTAAAGATAGCTACCAATTGGAGGCACCTAATTATTCAAAAAATGCCCAAAAGATGTAGTATTTCAGAAACTCAGTATAAATAAAACATTCTTAACATGCCCATTATCAAATATTTAAAATATTAAAAAGTCTGGATTAAGACCAGCTAAGACAGATAGGAGTGACGTGATATTTTTGTGATGGACTATTTCACAGGCTTTTAACAAGTACCTCAGATGTACCTAAAGGTCTTCTGAGAACTGCTATTTTAGTGTAGGGAGAAGATATATTCAATATGTTTTATAGTTGGGTATAGTTTTGAGGCACATAGAACAGTCTACTCATCCTTCATTTTAGGTATTTCTATTTTCTAAAAGAAAGTGATTTGTATTCCAAAACTACCATCACAGTGAAGTAAGTCCCAATGGAAAGAATACAGGATCAGATGGGGTAATGGGGATAGGGTATGGTGTGTACCATACTTCTGCAACTGGGTGCAAGTACTTCATTTGCTAAATCCTATGAGGAAAATGAAATGGATTTATTAATCTTTAGTAGCTACCTGTGAACCGAGAGTGTGTATCTTTATTTGTTGGTTTTTGAGGTGGTCTAATAAATCACAGCTCCAAACTCCAGAAGCAAACTCAGGAATCGGACAGATTTACCCTGTCTCTAGTGTCTGTACTGGGGCAGGCCTCATTCGGCAGACACGGAGGCCGGTCCTACGGGAGAAGAGTGGACATTCTCTGAAGACAGGCTGGTTCTAAAGCAGAGTGAGAAGTGGTTACTTCAGCCTCATTTCACCTCAACTTTATAACTAGCTGCATCAGTCACAGCGGATATTTGGAGCTTTAAAAAAATTTTTTTTAAAAAGTAGGGTTATTTTAACTAATTATCAAATTCGTAAAGCTACTGCCAAGACATTATGAAATCTTAAATGTTTAGTACTTTCTGGCTTTGCCTTTTTTTTTTTTTAACCTGCTGGGGATGGAACTTAGGGCCTTGCACTTGCAAGGCAGGCATGGCACCATTAAGCTAAATCCCCAGCCCTGGTTTTGCTTTTTTAAAATCTGGATTAGAATTGAAAGAACTAGGATAAAATGATATTTTGTCATTTCTTTGTAGTTACACACATATTGCTGACATTATGTAACAACAAAATAAAAATTTGAATGTCCTTATGATTTCCTTGAGAGTATGTATTGGCTGAATTTTAATGAATCAAGAAAAGCCTCATTTTATGCTATAAATTTAAGATGGGTTAATTTAAGATGGTTTAAGGAGCAGGGAAAGCACAAGCCTATAATCCCAGCACTAGGGAGGCTGACGCAGGAAGACCACCCTGAGTTCAAGGCCAACCTGGGCTATATAATTTTATTAAAAAATTTTAAAATACATGCAGTAATCAGAGCAGCTCTACAGAGTTCATACTAAGTGTTATGTACTTGCAGTGCAGTGTGCATTATTTTAAAATTTATTGTTTTAGTTTTTTACAAAATAAAAGATACTCTGCAACTTACATAGTAAGCCACTTTCAAAATCTAAATTTGTTATAATAATCTTTTCCTGCAGAGGGGAAGAATGCTAGACTTCAATGGAAAAAGTGACATGCTGTTTAGTGCTCTAAGTTATATATTTCTGTATTTCTCAGAGGTGAATTTAGAAGACATAGAATGAACATTTTTTATCATTTCTTCTGCTTTTTTCAAATGTGCAAGATGGAGATGCTCCACTGGATTATTTGCAAAACAGTGCTGTGTAAGAATCCCTCCCCTAACCTGCACAAAACAATTTATTTTTGACTTCCAAAAATAAATTCAAATTTTCTGCAACATTTGTTAGATACAGAAATTCAGGAAAAAATTAACTGCCTGGTTTATGCAGTCCAGCCTTTTAGTCCCACGTTTCAATGCCAGTCTTTCCAAAGAAATTGAAAAGCACTCAAGCACAGGAAAACTGCCTGATAGAAAGAAGATCAGTGTGGAAAATGCAGTTGTGGACAGTGGACAAGGTCCTCAAGGGCCTGAAGGGCATCTGGAAAAGCTCCTCACGACAAGGCAGAAACAGGATCAGGAAGGAGCAGAGCGCCTAGTGGCTCATGGAAAATGCCGCTGAGCAAAAAAGTCTCAGGAGACCCTGAACAGGGGAGCTTAGAGTCGCTTCAGGGGTGCTAAGGCCCAAGAATTTGGCCAAAAACTCCTACACAGAGGAACAGAAGGCAGCCATCTCTTCCTCCCTGAAAGGGCACTCGTCGGGCAGGCTTCCTGCCTCACACACTTGCCAAAGCCCCAGTGAGGATGTGGATTTTGGAACCTGTAGATGCTAAGAGTTAAAGCATGCAGGATGGGACAGGGACTTAGCTCAGTGGTTCCGCCACCTGCCTTGCTAATGCAAGGACCCAAGTTCGATCCCTGGTACCAAAAAAAAAAGAAAAGAGCACAAAGGTAACTAAGTGTATATTACATTCCAAAAAAGCAAGCACTGTCTTATAAACTTACTCGTTTGTGCTCCACGGAACACCTTAGGCCAACTGGAACTGTTAAGCCTCACAAAGGGAAATGCAAGCAGCAGACTCAAGCTTGCAAAGAGACCTCTGATCTCAGCAATGCAATTCTCTTTCCCGAGGATTCTTTACATCTTCAAGAGACCTTCACGTTCGGGAGAATCCTGTCTGAACTATATGCTCCCTCTACAGAAAGCCCTTCACTTCTCCATCGCTGTCATCGCCAGGTGATCAGTCTGAAGCTCAGCTAAAGTAGCAGGTCGTACCTCCTCATCCCCAACAGTGAAGAGACGGCTCTCTTGTGTTATCTGAACTTTAAAAATGGACTGCTATTAGGCACACATATGCAAATACCAAGTAGTATCTCTGGTGTGAAAAATTAAAATAGTACTCAAGATCCTAATGGGACATTTAGCAATGTGAAATAGGAAGACAAAAGGTGTAGGGACAGTGAGAAGGATAGGGAAGGGGGAATAAGGGAAAAGGAAAAAAAAAATGAGAAAATGTAAAAATGGAATTAAAGCGTTTGAAAGGGGGGAGGGGGAAGGGTGAAGGGAGGGTGGGGACAAGGGGAAAAAAAATGGACTGCTAAGGAGATGTAGCTCAGTGGCATCACACCTGCCTGAAAATCTGCTCTGAGACCCATGTACAACTGGCCTGTGCCAAGCTCATCTGCAGAACAGACCTCCTGATGAAACTTCTCATGAGCAGCAAGAAGTCAAGGCGTTCCAGAGTGAATGGGAGCCAGGCATGGTGGCACACGCCTGTAATCCCAGCACTCGGGAGGCTGAGGCAGGAGGATCTCTGTGAGTTCGAGACCAGACTGGGCTACTAAGTGAGTTCCAGGTCAGTCTCAACTACATAGCGAGACCTTGTCTCAAAAAAACAAAAACACACAAACAGAGTGAATGGGATATGACTCACTGAAAAAGTGAGACTTTCATCAATAAGAGCACAGAAGCCCAGCGAACAGAAGGGGCAGGAGTCAGGGGAAGTAAAACAATGATCCGCTTCAGAATCCAGGAAAGAGGCTGAACCTTCTCTCACCATATAGGAGACCCGGATTTCCCTCCAGATTCATAGATGGTGATTGTAGCTTTATCCGCAGGGTATTAGGAAATAATAGTTGTATTTGCTAAGAAGGCTTTTTAAATTTTGTTGTTTTTTGAGACAAGATCTCACTATGTAGTGAAGGCTGGCCTCCAACTCTCAGCCATCCTCCTGCCTCAGTCTTCTGAATGCTGGGATTATAGGCACGTGCCCCTACACGCAGCTCGAGGGCATTTTTTAAAATGAAGGCAGCCATTTTGGTTTATGGATATATAGTCTAATGACCTCAGGGAACAGCTCTTTGTTCCTTGAGGTAACCACTTTGAAGAGAAAGCCCACCACAGAAAGATCTGCAGCCTTCTGGGGAAGAAGAGGTTGTCCTGCAGAGGCAGGTAGATACAATCTTTAAAGATCTAGCTCTTGCTTTCTGGATGGCAGCCAGGGGGTGTCCAGTCCATTCTCCACCACTGAGAGCTTTTCTACTCAGGCAGCAGCTCCAAGGAGACTCACAACACATAACTCCCACACCACAATGGACAGTTTGTGGGATGCATTTGACAAAGCCTTTCTCATAAGGGATGACATCAGTCCTTCACTGGGAAAGTGGCTTCCCCTTGCAGGCCTTTTGGGCTCTTTGAGTGTTATCACTTGCTGAGTAAAATTTGAAGATGGCATAGAAACCAGGCTGGGACACGGCAGCGTTAGGAGAACCCTGACTGAGTGCAGAAGGCCAGAGTTGGAGAATGCTATCGACAAAGCCCGCAGGTCTCCAGGGGAAGGCTTCACCTCTCTGGACATGATACCCTTGTCTAGCAGGAATGTGACATCAGCGGTGGCTCAGGTGGCACCTCGTTTGGTGGGCTCTCCATCACTGCTGCCCCGTCCTCTTGGGACCCCAGGTACATGCCCCAAGCCTGGGCTTGTCTCTCCCGGACGGCCGACTTTCCCAGGGCGTGGGCTCTGCCACTGCTTCGGGCACCGCTCCTGTCCCCAAAACCATCATCACTGTTGTCCTCATCTTTTACTTTTGATTTACATTTAACTGTGCAGTAGTTATCAGGAAGTTAAACTTGTAAGTGTAAAGGATGGAATAATTTTCACATTTGCAGCAGATATCAACAAAATTTTATTTATAAAGTTGTTGAAACATAAGAAAATTCTGGTTCCTTTTCTATGAACTATCAAAAGCATGCTCTTTCATCTCAAATAAATCAGGTTTTGGGTGACAGCTTTTCAACATAAAGACACAAATCAAGTTGAAATACCTGAAATACTTTTCTAGTCCTTATATACTTTGATAATCTTGCAATACGTTTCTTCAGCAACTGACAGAAAGCGTTAAAAGAAAATGCATTTTGGGTAATGTTCTAAGAAGTCATTAGCACTGGTGGCAGCATTAGTAGTACTTCCAGAATCGATAAAATCCCAAAGCTATTGCCAAGCAAGTAAACACTGAGGCTGTGAAAAAGGAAACATTACATGTCACACATTTGTAATCCTTTTGCTGAGAATGATGAAATAATATTATCTTACATTAAAATGCAGAGCTACAAACAAAAGACAGATTTTATACTGTTTTTAGTTTCCTAGAAAATTAAACTAAAGATGAAAGATATTAAGGGCATAATTAATGTCAATTCTCCTTAAAATCACTCTGTATTTTAAGACACAGTAAGAATGAAAATAATTTTAAAATGTAGATGTCAGAATATATAAAAGTACTACAAAATCATTATCAACATTAGCATTATTAAAGACTAAGTAAACTTAAGTTTTCTTTCTTTCTTCCTTCCTTCCTTCCTTCCTTCCTTCCTTCCTTCCTTCCTTTCTTTCTTTCTGGGATTTTGTTCAGTGGCACTGAAACTGTCTTGCAGTGCAAGGTCTTTAGTTAGATCCCCAGTACTGGGGGAAAAATTATTTTGTTTTTTATTTTTACTTATTTATTTATTTATTAAAAAAAAATTATTTTGGAAAACCAGGTGTGGTGGTGCATGCCTGTAATCCCAGCACTCAGGAGGCTGAGGCAGGAGGATCACTGCTAATCTGAGCTCAGTCTTCACTACACAGTGAGTTCAAGGCTAGCCTGACCTACAAAAACAAAAATGAAACAAAACCCAGAAATTCTGCTTCCCAAATAGGTGGGATTACAGGTGTACACCACACCTTGCTTTTACTTTATAGCTCATGATAAATGAAAAAACAATCATTCTTATATTAAATATTATGTAGCAAGATAGCAAGGCCCAACCTCTTAAGAATTATTTAAAAAATGGAAATTCAATGAAAACTTTTTAAAAACCTAAGAGGTAGAATAAAAGGCAGCAAAAGCACAAGGGTTTTGGCTAACACATCACCTGGTCTTTACGTTACCTCATTTTAGTTTGAAAATATCATTCTATCTGTTCTCTCAGCTTTAAAAAGTTAGATTTGAGGGCCAGGCATTTGGCTCAGAAGTTCCACTGCTTGCCTCACAAGCGCAAGGGCCCAAGTTCTATCCCCAGTACCACAAAACAAACAAACAAACAAAAAACAAAAAGATGTGAGTGAGGCTTTTAGGGACTCTTGTCTCCAATCTGTTTAAACAGCTATGAAAGC